TTACAAATCTTTTAAACGCGCTTCTGTACTCACGTGAGGGGCACCGGCCTTACCAGATGTGTTTTTCTGAAAAAAATACACCTTATATGTTAATGCTTATGGTTTTTAACCACACTGATAACCACATAACTTTAGTACGTTTATATTATGCAGACTCTGTTTACAAATAATGTACGATAAACACAGACGATCAGTGTTGTTCAAATTAGTTGTATTGAACAAGAATACTCTCTCAAAATATACAATTCAATATCGTCACTGTATGCCATGTTGTCCGAACAGAGTGTGCACTTTGGTATAATGTGTGAAATCCATTTCTGGTGTCCCCCGTGATATTGCTGGAATATTGCCAAAAGCGGCGTAAAACCAAACTCATTCACTCACGTACGCAATGGTTGCAAATGGTTGAAGTGTCAATAAAATCTTAAATACTGTTGTGGCTAGATTTTAACAGATCGGCGGCAGCGAATACTGTAGAGTTATCCGCTCTTGTGTAAACATGAACGTGGCAGGCTTGAATATTCAAGAGGTTTCGGGATTGAACAGTTTCTAGAAGGCTGGCTGTATCTGTATGGGGGCAATAGCAGGGCGATTCGAAGCCCTTTCAACGTGACTTGTGGCGTATCTACTTACCCGGTGCAGATTTGAAAAGTTGCAAACACCGACAGCTTTCTGACAGCTTCCAACACCATCAAGAACGACAGTGGCACAATTCTAGACATTTGTGAATGCATTTACATTAACTAGTCGCCGGGCGTGACCATCCGATCCTTTTGGTCGCCTCTTACGACAAGTATAGCTTATTGGAGACCCATATTTTTACCCAAAAGGAGACAAGTGTAGGTTGCGAAGGCCTATATTCTTACCTAGAATCCCCCAAAGGAGACAAGTATAGGTTCCGGGAGACCTATACTCTTACATGGAATGCCCACAGGGAGTCAAGTATAGGTTGCGGGAGACCTATACTCTTACATGGAATCCCCACAGGGAGTCAAGTATAGGTTGCGGGAGACCTATACTCTTACATGGAATCCCCACAGGGAGTCAAGTATAGGTTGCGGGAGACCTATGCTCTTACATGGAATCCCCACAGGGAGACAAGCATAGGTTGCGGAAGACCTATACTCTTACATGGAATCCCCACAGGGAGACACGTATATGTTGCGGGAAACTTATATTCCAACCTGGAATCCCCACAGGGAGACAAGCATAGATTGAGGGAGACGTATACTCTTACCTAGAATCCCCACAGGGAGACAAGTATAGGTTGCGGGAGACCTATATTCTTACTTAGAATCCCCAAAAGGAGACACGTATAGGTTCCGGAAGCCTGTATTCTTACCTAGAATCCCCCAAAGGAGACACGTATAGGTTGTGGGAGACCTATACTCTTACCTAGAATCCCACAAAGGAGACATGTTTAGGTTGCTACAAACCTATATTCCTACCTGTATTCCCCACGGAGTAAAGTATTGGTTGCTTGAGACCCACAGTCTTACATGGAATCCCCACGGGGAGACAAGTTTGTTGAAACCCTGCCCCCAGCAATATACCAGCTACATGACGGCGGTCTGTAAAGAATTGAGTCTGGACCAGACAATCTAGTGATTGACATCATGAGCATCGATCCACTCAATTGGGATACGATGACATGGATCAACCAGGTCAGCGAGCGTGACCACCCGATCCCGTTAGTTACGACAAGCATGGTAAACTTCACGGCAAGCATGGGTATATTCCGTGTTCTTGTTCCGTGTGTTCTTATCGCTGTTCTTGTTCCCTGTGTTCTTATCGCTGTTCTTGTTCCGTGTTCTTGTTCCTTGTGTCCTTTCGGTCGGGTAGCCTAGTGTTTTAAGTGCATGATTCCCGACATGCGTACAATGTGTGAAGCCCTTTTCTGGTGTCCCCCGCCGTGATATTGCAGGAATATTGCTAAAAGCGGCGTAAAACCATACTCACTCACTCACTCCTTTTGATGCAGGCTCCTCGGTCCGTCAAAACCATACCTCTGTTTCACACGTCAACGTCTAAGACATATTCCATCGTTGTGATCCTCCTGCATTAAGCTGGCACTTTGCAACTGGACGTTTACCTGAACACATTCTCTCTTTATGTCACCCGTGGAGATCCGGGTTAGAATAGGTCTTCAGCAGCCCTTGTTTGCCGTAAAACGCGACGTTACCTGTCGTAAGACTTGACTAAAGGGATCGGATGGCCACTCTCGCTGACTTGGCTGATGCATGTCATCGTATCCCAATTGCGTTGATCGATGCTTATGATATCAATTACAGGATTGTCTGAATTATGTATAGACCGCCGTCAAATAGCTGGAATATTGATGAGTGAGGCGTTAAACAACAAACAAACAAATAAAACAAACTCCTTTTCAGGCAGATTGTCTGCCACAAAAAATACATCGTTAAAAGATGGCTTTTGTATAATGTTTAGACTCATAGCTGTAATAAAAAATATCTGGTTTAGCATCTGTAACTGAAAAAATATCCAGTCTTCATGCAAAATCTCAGGCACCCCACCTAAATCCCAAATATCAAAAGGTCGGTCCATCAGGACTTGACAATATTGTATATGTACAAGGAGTTTAACATATATTAAACATCTGCTGCATGTGTGTCAGTGCGCATGTCTTGTGTATGTTATGTATTCACGACCCGGTCGCTTAATTCATAAGATATACTATCTCCAGTAGCTATTTATAGACACAGAGACAGCACTTAATGGGACACAGTGAAGCCCGGGTGTTTGTGAGCGGGAAGCGTTATATCACTCGATGTCAGGCTTTGCTTCATACACGGGGTAAATCTATGAACGCCTCCAATCCTGACTGACATGTGTAATTCCCGTTCAATTGTGACCCGTCTGGAAGGATTTAATTTTGGCGAATGAACATCAAAACTACTTCAGACAAGAAGGATAACTCTATTTCTGTTTTAGTCCAGTAGCATTCCCCTATTGCTGTTTTAAAACAAATTAAACTGAATTAAGTTTGGAAAGCCAAACAGATCGTCAGACATAAAACTCAATGGAGAAGCAACTTGCTGTCAATTGAGCCGTTGTGTGTTATGTCACTTGGACGTACCATGACCCTATGTTAAATATAATATCACTGGACATACTGGATGTGAATACAAAGTGAAATCTAAATTTGATCACAAGAGCAGCATGACACTTTTTCTACACCAGCCTCAAGTTCAGAAAAGTATCATTAAATCGATTGGGGTCGTCTCTACTCTTGTCATTATATGTGCTTAGATACAAATCTAAAGGTGTCTCGACCAACGTACCCGTGTCTTCAAAACAAATCATACCTAGCTTGTTTCATGTTAACTGACACTGTACATGGTACAAGTCTTTCTGTAACATCTTGGTACAAGTGTATCAACGTTGAATCACTGATTGGACCAAATGTTCTCGTTGTTCTCTGTTGATCGGGTGGCCACTCTCGCTGACTTGGCTGATGCATGTCATCGTATCCCAATTGCGTTGATCGATGCTTATGATATCAATTACAGGATTGTCTGGATTATGTATAGACCGCCGTCAAATAGCTGGAATATTGATGAGTGAGGCGTTAAACAACAAACAACCAAATAAAACAAACTCCCTATTTGGCAGATTGTCTGCCACAAAAAATACATCGTTAAAAGATGGCTTTTGTATAATGTTTAGACTCATAGCTTTAATAAAAATATCTGGTTTATCATCTGTAACTGAAAAAATATCCAGTCTTCATGCAAAATCTCAGGCACCCCACCTAAATCCCAAATATCAAATGGTCGGTCCATCAGGACTTGACAATATTGTATATATTTTGTGTATATCACCTCCAGCTCATTTAGTCAGTTGGGTCAGGAATAGATTGATTAATTGTGATGTCCTTTCACGCCGATCTGAACATCTAGGGTGTTAGCTTAATCATGTTAATACGGATAAACCAAAAGTAATGCATCTCTGGTGCGCAAACCTATCGATGCCACTTTGGTGGCATAATTATATTTTATAAATCGCAATTTCCCGTCATTTCAAATATTTGCTTTTGTGTTTGCTTTTTTAAATTTCCATTCGACACTTCCATTATACTTTCATAATTTCGATTATTCCCTCGTCATTTCAAGTGCATTTCAATAACTCGTTTATTTTTTCTCGTTACTTCGATTATTTTCTCTTTATTTCAAGTATTATAGAGAACAAAACTCGAAATTACGAAACAAATGATGGAAGTAACAAGAACAAAACTCGAAATTAAGAGAAATGATTAAGACATGATTGAAATAACGAGAATATGATTGAAAAAGAAATTTGATAAATTTCGAAATAACGAGTAAATAATCCCCATTACGAAATTTTGTTATTTCTTTAGAAATTCGAAATAACGAGAAAAAACTCGAAATTTCGAAAACAAAAATTGAAAAAACATGAAAATAATTTCGAAAACAATATACAATTATTGAAATAACGAGAAAAATGTTCGAAAATGATGCTACCAAAGTGGCAACATTACGCTGTGTGGCTTTTATTAGCCACATCATCCACCAGACTCCACACCCCAACCCACCCACCCACCCACCCACCCTTTCATACAGTTATGATAAATGTTTGCGTCCCCCTCTTTCGCTGTGTTATGTTTTCATGACCCCCCCCCCCCCAACCCCCAACCCCACCCCACCCCCCACCCCCACCCCGAAATCTCACCCCACCCCTTCTCATCCCCATTCCAAAACCTAACATAAATAATAACCAGTCCCTTACTCTCATACCTCCAATTACTACTACCCATTTTAGGTACACATACTTATGTGACAGAAAGGAAAGTTAACTATACATAATAAAACAGACCGGTTTTCTTTATGGTGACATTCGCCCCAACTCGTCTGATTCTAGGTATCTATTTGCGTAGCCGCAACAATGCAACAAAACGAAAGAGAAAGGTACTTAAGGAATCCTACTTTCGTTTTGATGACATCACGACGTGTCATTTCAAAATGGCGCTTGTCTTGTGACAATGTCGAGCCGAGAGGAACTCACAACGCGATCTGTTTTAATCACAGGTCTCCCGGGCAATGTTAATGTCTTGGAGTTTGTGAATGCTTACTTATCTCAGATTGGTATCAAGACGTCAGTTGAAACTGTGGACTATGTCGGTGAACCCGAAGAGACCCAGGGCAAGCGCGGATATGTTGTGTTACTTAAATCAAGGATCGGTGAGTAGACTCTGATAGGGAGGTTATATGTAGCCGTAGTTGTTGTGTCACTGTGCATATTGTGTGTATGATAAACTCAATACTGCCGATAACAGGAGTGATTAACAAGCCTCTAGCGACACGCCATTACTAACCCCTCATAACACGCTATGACTCAGCTGTTATTCGATTAACAGTGTGCTGCCATTCATATATTTATCTGATCACGTATTTTTTCTTTCCATTAATCAATATTCATGACAAGATTAAGTTAACATCCATAATCAAGTTACACAGTCTCGTTATAGGCACACACACACACGCACGCACGCACGCACACACACACACACACACACACACATGCACACAATACTTCAGTATTCACCATATTCCAAAAATCCAAAACAAATATATTCCACGATACAGAAAGCAAAAGGAGGATATGTCTGTCTTGCTTAATCAGAGTAATGGCATCGCCAATGACAACACAATGACACAGACATATGTATTTACCTTGTTCATAAATGTATATAATTCTTCTAATAATGAAAATGACGAATACCGAAGCAGTATACCTCTTCTAGTAGATATCTTTTGAAACACCCTATCGACAACCACGCAGCATCCCGTGCATCACGTGTGTATACTAAAACACGTACATAAACAATACAATATAACATCCCACCAGGTATGACCTAAGAGGCACTAAATATAAAATGATATGTGTAACGTCATAGATCAGAATAAGATAAATTAAGACATATACCCACACAATGTTTAATGTTTAATTCGCCCATACACACACACCATATCCCTCCCTCTCTACATACACACACACACCACCAACACCACCACCACCACAACTAACAACCCCATCCCCAAACACACATACACACACGCGCGCGCACACGTACACGCACACTCAAGCGCCATTGGAACATTTGATGAATTAATGTACAAGGAGTTTAACATCTATTAAATATCTGCTGCATGTGTGTCAGTGCGGATGTCTTGTGTATGTAATGCATTTACGACCCGGTCGCTTAATTCATAAGATAAGCTATCTCCGGTACGTAGCTTTTTATAGACACAGCGACGCCACTCAAATGGGACACAGTGAAGCCCGGGTGTTTGTAAGGGGTAAGTGTTATATCACTTGATGTCAGGCATTGCTTCACTCACGGGGTAGATCTCATTCGTGACCAGCTCGTGTTATTCCGGGACAAGCCGAATAGCGACTCGTGTCCATTTATGCGACCGGGTTCCGTCTTACCGCAAACGGCATACCCAAAATAATTGTCAACTCGTTGCGTCATGGTTCACATATATTTTCACATATATCATATATATTTCAGATGCAATTTAAAGCACATCGGGACATACGGAATTATACAGTATGATTGAACACATTTAACTTTGTCTGGGGTATATTTTTAGATGTAATGTCAAAATTGATATGTAAAATCAAAAATTATTCCTGAGGGATTCTTTGACGAATAACTCTAAGTCATACGAGCATTCTGATTGGTTTGTTGTATTTTCGCATATAACATTCATCGATAGGGGGACGAGACTTCTTGCAGGTTACGGAAGTGGTGACGAATGGGGGTATATCTATGAACGCCTCCAATCCTGACTGACATGTGTAATTCCCGTTCAATTGTGACCCGTCTGGAAGGATTTAATTTTGGCGAATGAACATCAGAACTACTTCAGACAAGAACGATAACTCTATTTCTGTTTTAGTCCAGTAGCATTCCCCTATTGCTGTTTTAAAAACAAATTAAACTGAATTAAGTTTGGAAAGCCAAACAGATCGTCAGACATAAAACTCAATGGAAAAGCAACTTGCTGTCAATTGAGCCGTAAACTGAATGCAAGCAAGCGCACGTGAGTGGATTTCATTCTCTCGCCATGCATTGATTGTAACTGCGGAAACGACGCCATGCATTTTTTCATTTTTATCAAAGTACCCATTCCCTTACGTGCATTTACACAAAAAACTTACAATGAACTTTTCGTATTTGATCCATGGTCATTATTTTATCAAATGGATCCTTCGATTTATATTCTTTGTCCTGACAATCCAAAATGCTTGCTGAATACACACACAAAATTCGTGGTAAAATTGAAATTAAAATAGTATAGTGTGTGTCTGTCTGTCTGTCTGTGTGTCTGTCTGTCTGTCTCTGTGTGTCTGTCTGTCTCTGTGTGTGTGTGTGACTGTCTGTCTGTGTGTGTGTGTGTGTGTGTGTGTGTGTGTGTGTGTGTGTGTGTGTGTGTGTGTGTGTGTGTGTGTGTGTGTGTGTGTGTGTGTGTGTCAGTATATTATGTGCTTAGAGACAAATCTAAAGGTATCTCGACCAACGTACCCGTGTGTCATCAAAACAAATCAAACCTAGCTTGTTTTATGTTAACTGACACTGTACATAGTACAAGTCTTTCTGTAACATCTTGGTACAAGTTTATCAACGTTGAATCACTGATTGGACGAAAAGTGACCTGTTCTCGTTGTCCCATCGCACAGGTGCACGCAAGATACTGGCCGAGCACCTGATGTCAGAGTGTAGGTATGAGGGAGGCGTGTCGACAATATCGGCGGTGAGGTGTCCCGACGAGCTCATACCCGAACCTTGGCTGGAAGATCCTCCACGTTACATCACGGTAATGATAACTCTTATATTTGAAAAAATAGAACTGTCATGAAAAATACTTTGAGATCAGTGATTAAATGTGTAGCAATTTCAGTCGTAACGTTTGTACGTATGACAACAATATCCCTGATATTTTCAGGACAAAACAATATTTCATTGGGACAAAATGTCAACATTTAGGAACTTTGTTTGAAAAATATATGTGTTTAATTAACCATTATGTGAAGTGAATAAGTTGATATCGTAATGAAGCTTTTATGTTAAACTGGACCAGACACCTAATATCAAGGAAGAAGGTCCACCATGTCACTCAAACAGCCCCCAACCTTCAGAAGATATAAGAACTGATGAACAGAAGCCCCTAGCAAGACACGATCCTGTGCACGCAACGCTTGCCCCTGCACAACCCCAACATACTGATGTCCAGACCGTGAGCGTCACTGAGCAGGAAATAAGTTCAAGCCCAGTTTCCGATTTTCTAATACCATCACATGCTCAAACACCCCCAACTTCCCAAAAGCAAATAACGAAATCGCAACAATCCAAAGGGGACAGCCAATTATCAAACAATCAAGACCAATCTCCCTCTTCCCAGGTATCTCCAGGCCATGGATCAAATTCCCCATATCAGACACCTGGTAGTGGGTATCTGGCGCATCTGCCAACTAGAGATCATCCGACTGCTGCCCAATCCTCTCAGGTATCTCCAGAGACACCTAGAATTCCCCAAGACCCACAACAGAATGACCAGGGACCCAGAAATCAAGGGCCACAGGACGCTCTTCAACACATGATCCCAACAGGAGAACCTGGTGGATCTCCAAGACTGCAACATGTCGAATTTACACAGAACATGCATCAAGGACCTGCTCGACAGATGCACCCAGTAAGTTCTCAGCAGAACATCCAGACAGGCTTTCCTGAGACATATCCACATCCTGAAACTGTACAGCCATACTATTATGCCCCTTGGAATCTCCCACAACACCCACAACACCCACAACACCCGCAACACCCACAACACCCGCAACACCCACAACACCCGCAACACCTACAACACCCGCAACACCCGCAACACCCGCAACACCCGCAACACCCGCAACACCCGCAACACCCGCAACACCTACAACACCCACAACACCCGCAATATCCTCAAGCAACTGGACACCCTCAATATGGCAATCCTGGGAGAATTCCACAACCAGATCCAAATAACTTTTTCCCATACCCACGTGGGACCTATCCACCACACCAACCACATCCAACACAGGGTCAGCACTACCAATTTCCAATACAAGGTGAACCATACCAAAATCCAACACCAGGTCAACCACACCAACATCCAAATCAACCCCAGGCATACCATCATCCACCACTCCAACCATACTATCAAGAACCCTATCAACCAGCTGAACAATATCCACCAGGAAGCTACCAAGGAGCTCAAAACTATCCACAAGGACGCCAAATGCATCCACAGGGTGCGCCTTCTCCCCACCAATTGTTTGGGGCACATCTCCAAGAGCAGACAATACCCAATCAACAACGATCTGCCTCTGAACACCCAGGTCCCCAACCTATCCAGGACTCACACAAACAGGATGAACTGAAGCGTAGAGGTATGGCATATCTGGCTCAATTATTTCGAGAGTTCCACTGGATATATCTATGTTATACCAGATACAAAAGTTAAAAGATATTGATGTCACAGAATGAAATGAACACCATCTTCCACAATTTAGATATCTCGATCAAGGAACGCACAATACACATAAGAATATAATGATCGAATGTAATATCTTTCCGATATATGCGCATATGTATTTTAGCAATTCTCAATGTTGATTGGTCAATTGAAGTCATATGTCGTCACAGTGCTAGACTGTGGAAAAATACACACGACTTCATCCATTGTTCATGACGTCACAAATCGATTACATTACGTAAGGCTGCCTTCATTTTTCTTCACTTTCTCTCATAAAATGTCAATGAATAATACATAGGGCTCTACCTACCCTTAACTCAGAAGTACTGATGATCTGTCCCTCGTGAATGGATGGTGCAGGTCCTTCACGAAATGCTCGGGATAAACATCATTCATTTACTCGAGACAGATCAGCAGTAATTCGTCGTAGCTTGTTGTCTAAAGAGTTCTGAGTTGTATACTGATATTGAAGACCATCCTTGGTTTGACCATATATGATTTGAGGCCTTCATAGCATTACAACTAAGTATTGTAAACCCCTGAAAGAAATTAGTTTGCCACATGCTTACATGGTGTTTTCCAGCTACTGTGACCCATCTGAAATTTTGGTTTTCGAAATATTTACAATTAAATTATTCATGCATATGTTAATCATTTCATTAATAGCCACACCAGAGGACTGTCCCACTATCCTGGAAGTGAAAGGTATACTGCCCTCCACGACTGAGGATAGTGTGAAGCTGTATTTTGAAAATAGGCGGAGAAGTGGTGGAGGAGAGGTGGTTAAGGTGGATATGAAGAAGGGGAAGAACAAGGCTCTGGTCTTCTTCAAAGATCCTGAAAGTAGGTTTCTGTGTATACTTTTAAAAGTTCGTATTAACACTTGGTAGTAATAACACTCGGAACCCCATCTACATAAAACAATACTACAGTGACAGGAAAATTAGTCCCTTGGATTTGATAATTAGTAATATGGAAATAACGGAGGCCATCGTTTTTTTAGCTGCAGAACGTATCCTCAAAATGAAATCCCATCTGATTAACAAACAACGTGTGGAGGTTTTGGCTTACACAGAACCCTCCTGCCATACGTCCGCTGCTGCTGCTGCTGCTGCTGCTGCTGCTGCTGATGATGATGATGATGATGATGACGATGATGAAGACGATGTTGATGATGACAAACAAGAACAGAGCACTATTGAAGTCCGGGGATTTAAACCTAATACAAACCCTGAAACTCTGGAACTTTACTTTGAAAACACTAATAGAAGTGGAGGCGGGACGGTGACAGGAAATGAAAGGAAGGATGATGTCATCTTCATTACGTTTGAGTCTCCAGAAGGTAATTTTGACTCCTATGTTTTTGTATTACATAATTGACGATGTTAAATGATTTCCGATGTTAGTTTACAGAGAATAAACTGAAGGTGAGGTGAATTGTGGTTAAATAGTACGTGTGTGTATGTGTATGTGTATGTGTGTGTGTGTGTGTGTGTGTGTGCGTGTGCGTGTGTGTGTGTGGCTGTGTGTGTGTGTGTGTGTGTGTGTGTGTGTGTGTGTGTGTGTGTGTGGCTGTGTGTGGCTGTGTGTGTGTGTGTGTGTGTGTGTGTGTGTGTGTGTGTGTGTGTGTGTGTGTGTCTTTGAGAGTATGTGTATACATTGTGTATTTTGTGAATGTGAACGTCAGTTCATGTATGTTTTGTATCTTTCATTGTAATGCGTCGGGGAAACGAACCACACACCTCTGAGGACAGACCAGAGATTCAATTGAAGTCATTCCCAGACACATGCATATTATCCAAGCAGAGTCTGTTATGGGTCTGTAATGTAAAGCATGAGCTGTAATGAAGTGTTTAATGCAATCATTGCACTATTTTCAATTTTTATAACATGATTAAACAGAGGTCACACACTAATGGTCTTATCTAATAAAACAATTATATCATCTTGTTTTACAAATTCATTATTTCTGTGTTCAGTGGTCCAAAAAGTACTGAAAAGGAAACACAAGGTCGATGGAGCAAATCTGACACTAAAGTTACATCGCCCAATACCTTGCTACAAGGACAGGTTTCTTGTGACTGGCGTAAGCAGCTCAACTGTCAAGGAGAACTTAATTTTCTTTATGGAAGCACGGGCACAGGGAAGCAACGTTACTGAAGTCCTGTATGGGGAAGAGCCCGGGAAAGCATTGGTAACTTTTGAGGATCACAATTTCCCTGGTAAGAGATAACACTATACATAGTGTAGCGCAGCTACGTATAATCTACAAGAACTACATGTAGTTAGTCGTGTGGTGAGTCTGCCTGGATTAGCAAAGAAATTGAATTTGGCCAAGAAGTTTTACTTAAGCTTCGGGTATGTCGATGTTCTTATCTGATCTGATACTGTTCAGTTCTAATTCAAATAGCATCTTCGCTTCCAATGATTTACCCACTTTTTTACCAAATATAAAGAGTCCAGTGAAACCGTCTCATCTGTTTCATATCAAGATCTATACTTAAAGATTCGGAGTAACTATCCAAGACTGTATGACAAGGATGACTTCCATTTTTCAATAGTCAAATAGCAGTTCCATCCCTTGGGGTCTGCATTTCATAAACTTTGAGGTACAATCAAGCATGCTCCTTCTATGACGATTTCATACAACGCTTACTTAAATGTCCTTTGATCTGGCTTATATTTCAACATTCACGGCTTCAATAAAGTTTTCAAAACGTTTTAAAGTAAACACATGGAGGACAAGAATAATGTTCGATGCCGTTTGCAAGGTTACTTTACCGTATGTTCCCTTGGTTATTTTTTAGATGAACAATCTATGAATGAATATTGCCTTTGCAATATTTTGTTCTACCGGTGCCACCGGTAGGGCATTATACGCTCACCTTTTCGCGAACAGGGGGCACGGGGGGCTCAGTCGTCTAAGGCGCCGCGATTCGCTGTGCAGAATTGCATCTTTGGGCACGCCAGAAACCTATGATTGTGGGTTCGAATCCCGGTTCACTCCGATTATTTTTCTAGGTTTGTCAGCACCATATTAATGCTCGTGGTTTTCACCGAAGTGGTAAACGTCCGAGACCTGCATCACTTCTAGCTTTCCTCCCACATTTAGCTGACACGCCGCGATATAACAGTAATCCTGTTTAAGCTGCGTTAAACCCAGCTTACTCACTCAATATTCGCGAACACCTGGTATCATCACTATTTGGTAGTGATTCATAAGCACATGCTTATAAGATCGTACAATCGACTCTGCTTGCAGCAAAGGTTCCTTATAATATGGGAATGAATTTGTGAGAATTATTATGATTAAGGAAATGGTTTTATGTAGTTTTCTTTATTTGATTTCTTGTGTTAATGGAATGGAATTTGTCGCTTGTATTTATCCATGTCATTGTAACATTGAAGTGATTCATACAACTGATGCTCACCTAGTTTTGTTCAAATTAAGACGAAAGCTCATGTTTTCCCTTTTTCGTTATTACAACACTTTTCTAACATCGTTATAAGTGTAACGGGTTACACTAATTTCTGTACCTGAGGAGAAAATCTGTGAGGGGGTTTAACGTCGCGTTCACGATTATGACATTCTTATAACAACGTGCATGCACGTGTGTGTGTGTGCATGTGCGCGTGCGTGCGTGTGTGTGTTTGTACGAGTTCAGACTGATGTCAGTTTTATAGTGCTAGCCAACTGATATACCATGCCGCAGTTTAACATGGATACCCTACTCAGAAACAAGATACTTACTTCGAGCCGACCAGTTCTTGATTTAACCAGGCAGGGTAACAACAAGCACCATCTTTTGTTATGATGCGCCTTGCTGGTAGACACTGTCCACGAGACCAAGAGACAGGTTAAAGATGAAAATAGATATACTCACACGCAAAAGAAAACGCAAGTTTCAACAGTAAAGACAAGAATAACTAATAGGGCCAGATTGACAAAAAATTGACTGAAGACAGTTCAATGGATTAAAAAGCAGATGACATAATTGGGTTTTTTTCAAATGTTAAGGGCTTACACAGTTTCGGGTCAATACCCAAAGTGTCAGTCAATACCTGGTGTGACCACCATTAGCATTGATCACTGCCACACATCTCCTGTACATTGAGTGGATCAGACGATTTGTGAAGGCCCTAGGGATCATCAAGCACACATCCAGAGCAGCTGTGCGTAGTTCCTCGGCAGTTGTAGGGACTGGGCGCACGTTGTGCAGACGCCTTTGAACCTCATCCCACAAGTGTTCGATGGGGTTCAGATCAGGGCTGAGGGCTGGCCTCGGTAGAACACGGATGTTGTGTTGTTGCAGAAAGGCCATGGTAGCTCTGGCAACATGAGGACGAGCGTTGTCCTGCTGGAAAATGTGTTGTTAATGTTGTGCAAAAAATGGAACAACGAGGGGTCTGATCACCGCTGAGCAGTGACGCCGTGTCCCCGACCTTGACCAGCATTCAGAAAGCACATGGGCCCAAGTCTCGCATTAAGTCCAATCCCTGCCCATATCATGACGCTAGGTCTACCCCATGGATCCCTTTCCACAACGTTTCTGTCAGCGAAACGATCACCTCGACGCCTCCAAATTCTGACTCTTCCGTCTGTATGGGAGACACAAAAGCGACTTTCATCAGAGAAAATGACACGCCTCCACTCACGATGACGCCAATTGTGATGACCCTGTGCCCACTGAAGTCGTGCTTGTCGATGCCGTGGTTGGAGAACAGGACGACGTGCTGGTCGGCGACATCTGAGGTTGTTGGAACGGAGACGTTGGATCACAGTGTGCCTGCTAATGTGTCGATAATGTGTTCCTATGGTCTCTCGAGCAGTTTCACTTGCAGTTAGGAACGGATGTCGCTGGTGTTGACGGGTAATCTGCCGATCTTGTCGAGGTGTGATGACCCTAGGACGACCGTTCCGAAGAAGGTCATCTGTGGTCTGTGTTGCATTGTATAGATGCAGGAGACGGTAAATTGTGGTTATGTTAACGTTGAAATGAGGGGCAACATATTGGACAGACTCTCCAGCTTCCAAACGTCCGATAGCCTGGTTTCTCTGAATTTGAGTTAGGCGTGGCATTGTTGACCAAGGAGTGATAGGTCCAAGAATCGGCCACAGTTTTATACCTACTACACTTCGTGACAGTTCGTGCATTTTCGATTTTGCGAGAAATGGGTGCATGATACCCACATATTCATTGAAATGGTGCGTTTTGGCAATTCGTTTTGTATGTGGCGTTTTCACTCGGGGCTTCCAAACTGCAAACAAAACTATTGATAACACCATCAGGCTTCACTACATGATAAAACTCGTATCAATATATTGTTCCGTGTTTGTTACCTATTTGCTTAAAACCACTTGCGTGTCGTTTGCGTGTGAGTATAGATTATGAAACGTTTAAATGAACATCAATCTATCTACAGGTGTCAACAAAATTCTATCGGTATCGTTTGATAGTAATTAACAAGTATAGCTTCCTTATCATCTCACTTTTCAGACTTCGAAAGATTGCAACAAGATTGCAGGAGAAGGAAGCTTGAAGGACAACACATCGTGGTTCATAAAGTACCTGTATGTGACAGTGTGGTTGTAAGGGGACTAAAGGCAGAGTCGACTGAAGACACTGTGCAATTATACTTTGAAAATAAAAGATCTGGCAACACCGATGGAATCCCAGCTACAGCCTCCTTGCACAATGGTGATGAGTATTGCATTGTCAAGTTTGAGGATTATAGAGGTAATTTAAATTTCATCTGTTCGATGCAGTGAGTGAATTCGTATGGTTTAACGTAACTTTGGGAATCTTTTTAGTTATGTCTCTGCGTGTCAGCTTTATGTATTTATGTGTTATGACTTTCAAACATCTCGTACATGTATTATATGAAATGTTGATAGTGAAGCGAATGCTTGGAGTCCTCTGAGTGTTATAAATGATTGCAGTCCTATCCATATCTTGACTGTTTACAAAGCGTGAAGATCCAGGTAAGAATAGGTCTTCAGCAACCCATGCTTGCCGTAAAAGGCGACTATGCTTGTCGTAAAAGACGATTAACGTGATCGGGTGGTTAGGCTCGCTGACTTGGTTGATGCATGTCATAGTATCCCAATTTCGCCAATCACTGGATTGTCTGGTCCAGATTCGTTTATTTACAGACCGCCGTCATGTAGTTGGAGTGCTGAGTGCAACTTGATTGTTTACTTTCTTGTATTCTCTAAGCTTATGTCATTGCAAAATAATGCCAACTTTGGCGTGAGACTCGATGTCTGATATTCTTGTGGAGAAAAAAACACTATTCATAATCTCTGTATCACGGCGTGTCAGCTCAAAGCCGGACGTGGTGTAGGTCTCGGGTCGACCTGGATTCGAACCCATAACCATATGTTTCTGGGGTGCCAAAGGGACGCAAAACTGCCCAGCGAATTGCGGAGCCTGAGACGATTGCGACATCCGTACTCTCATATGGTATAGGTAGAATTGGTAGGTGTAATAAAATATGCATGTTCTGACACCTTTCCAACAACTTGGGCCATGGCGTGTATATATCAGCAACTACCCCCACCCGATACCCTGCTGTGTCATCAAAGTTCAATGTAACTGAACTTTTGCTGCATCATCAACAAAATCACATATATTTCATTTATTGATCTAACATCAGTCTGAAATCAGATGAATATGTGTTTTCTGGTTTCAGCCATAGATAAAATCCTTCCAAAGCAACACACGATTGATGGTGCAAAACTGACTGTGACGCTTTACATGGAATGTCTTGGACTAGGCAGTGAGGATACGGATGGATCTTGGTACACACAACCAAAACCATTTACTGTTCAAAACCTTGACGAAACCAAATGTAGGTTTCTGCAAAACTCAAAGACCGATGAGGAGGAGCTGAAACGGGGACTGAAAGAGCGACATGCCGAAATTATATGGGTCTCTCTCTTTTCTGCTACGATGACATGCACGCTCAACAAGGATGCCCCAAATGCTGTCAAGCTAGCAAAATCTTGGAAAAAAGACACAGAGGACTTTCTGAAAGGTTTTATTGATCACTTTAAAACTGAAGAATTTACAACCCTTGAACAGATGTGGGGGGATGTGAAGAAGAATGTGACCGATATCGCCAAGTCAAAGTTTGTTCTCGTGAAAACGTCTGATGCAGAACATAAGGTCACAGTAGTCGGTCATGCCACAGAGGTACATCAAGTCGCTACCAAAGTGAGGGAAACTGTAGAAGGCGTAGAGAACGAATTCAGAAGAAAACAGAAGGAGATTACTGAGCCGATCAAAACTTTGAAGCCACTTCAGCTCCAGCTCCTTATGATGGATGGCTATGTAGCAGATATTGAGAAGCGGTATCCTACAGATTTGAACGTGACTGTCAATGTCGAACATAACGAGATGATTTTCAAAGGTCAAGTGAACGAAATCAACGAGTGTAAAGTTTTAATGTATGAAAGATGTACGAGTTACAGTTCACACAGACTTACACTTTCCCAGGGACTGGTTTCCTTTCTAGATCAAAAGGACGTGAAGGCTATGGTCATGAACAAACTGAAGGATAAGAAGATCACTGGAGTATGGGATATTGAAAGCAAAAATGAAACTGTAATTGTCATGGCAACGACAGAAGAAAATGGTGCTGCTCTAGGGCGAACGCTCAAAGAGATGATCGTAGAGCATCGTGAGCCAATTGATGAAGAAAATACCTCCCTTCTGTCTTCTGACAAGTGGGCAGCCTTTCAAAAAGCAGCAGTGGCGAGATATGGCAGTTTTGTGAGTCTAAACAATGACCGGAAGGCCTCCCATGTTGTAATTGTCACCTTTGACAACACAATTAATGAAATCAAAGAGGAGGTTCGCAACTTTATCCTACAGAACTCGGTGTATAGGCAGATAGTGAAAATGCCAAGCCCAGTCTACAGATTCCTTCGTGTCTATAGAGAAAGCGAGCTCAATGATATCAGCCATGCCATGGTGAAACACAGTGGCAAACTGGACTACAAATCGACAGCACAACAGATAACAGTGAGTGGCTGCCAGGAGGCCCTTACCAACGCTGTGCAGGATTTGACAAGTCTTGCAAGGAAAGTCATTAATAAGAAACACACCCTCAGGAAGTCTGGGATCGGAAGGTTCATCAATTCTGAGAATGGGAAGAAAGGCATTGGCTCAACAGAGAAAGAGAGTCAATGTATCATAGAAACGTCATTTGATGAATCAGTCAAAGTAAGAGTCGAAACGATTGGCGTAATACCTGCCTCAGTCTCTTCTTCACCACGGGGTAGAAACCCAACTGGGACCAGAGTTATCGCTAGCTGTGACATAGACTCGAAAAGAAGGATTGATGTTGTCATAGGTGACATCACAGCTATGGAGGTTGACGTCATCGTCAATGCAGCTAACAACAGGTTAGATCACATTGGAGGATTGGCAAAAGCCATAGCAAATAAGGGTATGTATATTGTATTTATTTAATGCTTTTATAATGTATATTTGTTGTGATAGGACATGATTAATTCAACCTTACAAACAACTTGTTGTGATTCTGTCAATATACACAACCAGATAACAATACCTGGCAATTTCAAGGATTCCTACATCTTTACATCTAGTTTACAATAAACATCATGTTATCAGGTGGACCTACAATTCAACGGGAGAGTGATGAATACACTAAGAACAAGGCTTTGAGAGCAGGGGATGTTGTAACTACTGGTGCAGGACGTCTCCCCTGTAAAATGGTTGCCCATGCCGTCGGTCCGTGTTGGTCTGGTGGTCATGCTGGGGAGGAAGGAGACCTGAAAGATGCCATCATGTTAAGCATGGAGAAGACAGACAGACATGGATACAAGTCTATTGCGTTACCTGCCCTTAGTGCTGGAATATTTCGATACCCAGGCAATCTTGCTACAAGGTTAGATCAAGACTGAATGGTGTCGTCTAGACTTGTGTCTTTACAAAGTGTACCTCCCAAATGCATTATGTCTAAAACAACGTCACGAAATGCCTTTTAGTTTGTTCAATTAACTGAAATAGAGAATATTTCAAAACGTTTGACATGTATGTTGTTGGAGTGAGTAAGTGAGTGAGTGATGTGGGTTTACGCCACTTTGATATTCCAGTTATATCATTTATGTGCTTAGGAACGTTCAGGTGAATGAGATATGCATTCATGTCAATAAAGTCGTGTATGTCATTCGTATATGATACTAACGTTCATCAACCAAGTCAAATCAACCTTGCCATCAACTGGAAACGTTGAACTCATTGAAATCCTCAAGTGTATGTTAGTCTCGTAAATGAGAAACCACATTTTAACTCATATGCACATACTATTCTAATGCTATTTTTATAACAAATAATAAGTAAATATGCACACGAATGGTGTGTTTTCGGGACTCTTTTGCAGGAACATCTAACTACAGTCAATATCTGATGTATCAATATTCTTATTTCTAGATGATTAGTTTTATGTCTCTTTTCAGGCACATTGTTGAGGCCATTAAGAAATTCTTCACTCTGGAGAGTCCAAACAGCAGCGTGACGAATGTGTACCTGATTGACATGAGCGGGAAAACCACCCAGCTGTTTGCCGAGGCTCTACAGTTCGTGTTTAGTGATCGAAGAGTGGCGCTGACACAGAGCAACAATACAACTGATTCACGCCTTCCAATAGCTTCAAAACCCAAACCAGTCACTGGTGGTGTCGGTAAATATTTTTTGGAGTTGTTCGAAGCTTAAGATATGTAATATAACATGAGAGCTCTTTTTCTAGGGGTCTAGTTGATACAGCGTCTTTCCAGAGTGCGTATGGTCGGTGGTTCAATCCCCTGGTGTTTCATACCTAAAGACGTTAAAAGATGGTACTTGTTGTTACCATGCATGGTGCTCAGCATTTTGGGAATAAAACAAGGACTGTTCAGCCTGGAGTCAGTATACTGTGCCTGAGTGGGGTCTTCATGATACACGCCAGTATGTTATCTCAATCAATCAATCAATCTTTATTCATGGTACTTATGTGGCCAAAGGCCTATAGTACAATGTGTGGGGCGTGTTCCACATTCATACATTTTCTTAGTGTCATGGCATGATAAATGAACATTGATAGATTTCTAATAGTTTCTGTACAATCACAAGTCATTACTTTACAAAATTTGTTACCGTTTGGGTTGCGGTAGAAATAGTTATTTAGATATTTTGCTCTTAAATCTTCATACACTGGACATACACATAAAAAGTGATATTCATCTTCAGTACAATCAGTTTTACAAATCCTACAAAGTCTGTGTTCTCTTGCAATACCTTCATATCTGCCTGTTTCAATAAATAGATCATGTGAGCCACAACGGAATCGAGAAAGAGCTGTTCTAAACTTATGTAAATTTACACTTAATAGATAAGGTTCTAGTATAATAGTAGTCTTAAATGTAGTGGTTTGCTTTTCTAGAACTGGACAAAGAACAATGCCATTTTTGAATGTACATATCTTTTAAAGTCTGTGTTATCTCAGTTGCCTAGCACTATAAAATGGGCATTAGTCCAGACTAGTACCGGCAGCTACGAACAGATGCATACCCATAGCTGTATAAGCGCAATAATCTAGAAGACTAAACCTCATTTCACCACACCCCCTCTTTCTCTCTCAACCATGAGTTATTTAACTGTTGAGTAACTTGGGCTTTTTAAAGCTGTTTTTGACGGTATTCAGTGTTTAATAATTACACCTACGAGCATAGTCACGGTTCTGGCAACCCAAGGTTGTCTTTATGAGTTACCTTCACTTAGAATGTGCACACAAGTCAGTGTTTGTGGCACTCAGGGTGCTTACAGACAATTCCCTGTCTGACATCATGTTACTTGAATATTGATTTGATTAGTACATGGTGGCTGTGTTTCTTTCTCTCACAAGGTGTCCTTCCAACTCAAGGACAAAAAGCATCTTCACACAGCAAAGTGACAATTGTCAAAGGCGAAATTGCGAAACAAAAAGTAAGTATGGTATATTAAGTGCTAAGCTGTGTAATATGATGATCTCTCTGTCTTGTGTAGTGCGTGTCTTTCAATTGCAATGCTTTGCGAAATGTATTAGAGTCTTAAATGGATGATGAAGTGAAGGAACAGTAATACGAGTACTCATGTTGGAACTACATTAAGCTTTCCTAATCAGTATAAACGGTTATACTATTGTGTTGCTATTGAAGGTCAACCAAGATGTTATCTGATCATTGAAATTGTAGATATACACAGAAACACGCCCGAGCACCTTCTTTTTTATTTCATATTATCGCAGTCTCAAAGTTTTTGTAATCAGCAAGCATTTTCAATAGGCTGATGCTATCATAAACTCAACGTCCAACAACCTTGATCTTAACAACGGAGCTGTGTCCAAGTCGATCCTGAAAGCTGCAGGGAACACAATACAGGATGAGCTGTCAGTGAAGTATCCCCAAGGAATAAAGCCGGGAGATGTTGCTGTCAGTTCTGGAGGAAACTTGGGATGTCGTGTGTATCATGCCTGTCTGTCCACTGCAAGTGCCTCTAGTTCTGATGTAAGTTAACCCAGTTATTTTTGTATCTCTGAATCAGAAGCGTCTTTTGTAACCAACAATTCAGCCGTTTTGGTTTATTAGCCTGAACAAGTTAAGTGAGCTTATGCCGTGTCCTGTTTGACCAGTGTCTATCATTCGTCGTCCGTCGTAAACATCTTCTCCTTGGAAACCCTTCCAGTGAAACTGAACTTTCATGCTTCTTCCCACCAATGACAGCCCAATTTGTTCAAGACCTAATCTGATTTTCACTATGGCCGTCTCGTTAGCCATATTGGCAGAGCTATTTTTGGCCATTATTCAGACATGTTCTTTCATAATAAAATGAAATTTGGTACATGTGTAGTTATCGGTGGTGCTCCACACATTCAAAACTTTGATCCTATTTTTTACACTTTGACCGTGCCTGTAAATTCGTAAAGCTCGTAAAGCTTCACACTTGAAACATCATCTCCTCAGTGACCACAACCCCAATGGGGCTAAAATGTCACATACCTGTTCCTAAAAATGATGACACCCCAATTTTTTCAAGAGGCTCGAATCCTATCTGACACAGCAACCATATCAAGAATCTATTTGTGGACATTCATGAAAGATGGTATTTGTTTAGATGGTATGTATTTTTCTCCATATTGCCTTTCCCCTGAACAGGTACTTCAGAATATCATTCTGAAGTGTTTGCAAACAGCTTCTGATGACGGATGCCGTACCATTGCCTTCCCAGCCCTAGGCACAGGGAACCTGGGCTATGCACCTGACTTCGTGGCTCAGACTATGTACACAGTTGTCAATAACTTTCAAGAGAGAAGCACCGCACTGGAAGAAGTTCGAGTAGTGATTTATCCATCAGACAAACAAGTCATCCAGGTAAGTGATAACACAAAATTACAGCATTATTATTATTATTATTATTATTATTATTATTATTATTATAGTGTATGTTAAAATTGATTTTTCAATGGAGCAATATGCTATGTGTGTCAAGGACACATTCGTCTGAAGCTTCTAGGTGGTCATAGAAAGGGAAACATTTTTTTGACGGTTGCAAGTTTGACTTAACTGCTCAGAAACTTGAATACATGTATGTATCATTCCAAACTGACTTTTGCGTGAGATGTAGTATGGGTGTGATCAAACATATTTCCATGTGTTAGAAAACAACACCTGATGACAAATGACGAACCATTGCGTTACAGTTGCAAAGGAGATAAGGCTGTAATTGCATTGTATCACAACGCTTTGCGTGTCATTGTGAGTTTGTGACGTCACCAGTTACCATAAAAAAGGTCGAAGATTCATGCAGGATGACCTGATAGAATCTCACACTCATACTGTTATCAAAAGACACTCGATGGAGATAATTAATCTTAAACAAGGAAAATATTTTATTTTGTGTTATTTCTGTACTCAAAGAGTATGTATGTGTTTTCTTTTTCAATCCTTCACGAAGGCCTTTGAAAAGTATAAAAGACAAATGGAGACAGGAGAGATAACTGAGCCAGCAGTTGTGGTAAAGGATCGCCGTTCTTTCTTTGAACAAGTGAACACTGAAGGTATGCTGAGAGTTTTGTTTTCTGTGTTGAGGGAAACCATTTCTTGTTCTTTTGTTGAAATAGGGACAGTATCTCGTTCATTAAATTGTTCAGTTATATTTGAATACATACATTTTAACTTGTATTGAAGATTCATGGGTATCCGAGACTGAATCGGACGGACTTCAGATTGGACGGCTCAACGTTCAGATCAAACAAGGGGACATAACCAAGGAGGACGCTGACTGCATCGTCAACAGTACAAACCCTGACCTGGACCTACAAAGAGGTGAAAAAAGAGCGGGTTGACGCTGTAGATCAGTAGTAGTTTGTATTGCTTGTTACCGTTAAACTGTTAGAAGGATGTCTCGCTTTATAATACAGCTGTGATGTGTTCAGTTGTGAAAACCGTTTAGTATATGCTGCAATGAAACTGAAACGTCTTGGAATCTGAAGACGTGTCGGGCCATGGTATAACTTGTTAATGGTATAGAACTGAAAACAAATTAAACATTCAATTTCGTAATCGTCTTCTCAGGAATCTGAAACACTGATATAAAATGTACAACTATAGTTGGAGTCAGATTGCAGATTGCATTCGGCTCGTGACCGGGATATGTTTGTGAGATGTTTGCATGTGTTTTTGAGATGTTTGCATGTGTTTGTGATTGGTGCCACCTGCGGGGTAAGATGCGCTCACCTATTCGTCAACACCTTTTATCAACAATAAAACTTGCTTGTATACTCTCTTTTGCCCGGCAGTTAAGCACTGTACAGTGGTTTTACGTAGAGATGTCAATTGTGATTATGGAAATGTTTGTGCACCTTCTATTCAATACCCATCTTAGGGGATGGAATGCACATTATATACTTAATTTACAAAAAGTTCATGTGTGTTCCCAAATATACCTGTTTGCAACTGTGCCTTGGCGCTATTTCTATATTCCAACTTCTGTATTTGCGGATGGGATGAAAATTATACACTTAATTAAAAAAAACTTATGTAGAAGATATTTGAAATTGGTGCATGCTATTGTTGAACATCAAATATTCAAATAATTCTTTGTGCTTAAGTATTTCAATACTCAAATCTTTGAGTATTAACAAGCTCCGACGCATGTTGCGCATTTTGAATGTTAAAAAAATATAACCGTGATATTATTTTATAACTTTATTATAACCTGTTTAGATTTGGGCCTAGAAACAGCACATTCTTTACCGTCTTGTTGCTCCCTAGTAGGGATTGCGGGGTAGACTAGGTCCCAAACAACCTAAAGGGATTGGCGACAAAAGGGATCGGGTAGTCATGACTTGGTTGATTGCGATAGAGTGGGACAATGGTCATAATTTCGATCACTGGATTGTCTGGTCCAGACTTTATTACTTACAGAAGCGCCGTCATATATCTGGTTTTTTGACCTTCGTTAGACAAGAAAAGTCAATATATAGTGAGCCTATTTGCACATGTTGACATATTGAATATTTCCACGATTTTCTGTTCCAGGTGCTGTGTCCGTAGCTATCGCCACAGCATGCGGAAAAGACATGACCTCACAGTGCAAAATGAAAGGTAAGGAACAAGTGCTTGTTTGGAAAAACAATGAGAATCGTTTTACATTCAAAAACAAGTATCATTTGTACCTTGAATATGTGGTTCAATACAATAAATCAGCTGCGGCTCCTGTAGTAAGTCAGCCATGTTCATACATACAGATGCGATCAGCTGCGGCTCCTGTAGTGAGTCAGCCTTGTTCATACACACAGGTGTGATCTGCTGCGGCTCCTGTAGTAAGTCAGCCATGTTCATACATACAGATGCGATCAGCTGCGGCTCCTGTAGTGAGTCAGCCTTGTTCATACACACAGGTGTGATCGGCTGCGGCTCCTGTAGTGAGTCAGCCATGTTCATACACACAGGTGCGATCAGCTGCGGCTCCTGTAGTAAGTCAGCCATGTTCATACATACAGGTATAAATAGCTGCGGTTCTCCATGAAAAATATATGCAGTGTGTGTTCTAGGCTGTTGCACACATAGCGTGTTATACAAAGATACCTGCGCAGCAACATCTTTCTCCGGTAAAAACGTGCGTGTGTTATGGAAACTCGATAATTCCAAAGACTGATCAGAACCATACTTTATATATAGTGGACAAAATGAGGCAGAACGGAGTTGTCAGCACGACAGCGAAAGGTCTGAAGTGCAGCTACGTCCTACATGTGGCGGGGGACCATTTTGGCAATGACTGGAAGAAAGTGGTCCTCACATGTTTGAGGGAGGCAGACGAATTGGGTGATGCGCGCTCAATTGCCCTTCCGGTCCTTGGAACAGGTAGGTTCAAGTTATTTCTTTCAAGGTTATAATGAAATAATGATAATATGGTGTTCAATGAAAGGATATGTACCGTGTTTATATACCTGTATTTATTTATATATATTAATGTTTCGTTCCCAGATATACTACAAGTCAACTATAGGTCACTGTATAGTGAGTGAATGAGGGATTGAGTGATTTATTAAGTGAGTGTCATTTTACGCCACTTTAATCAGTATTCTGGCAATATCACGGCGGGGACACCAGAAAAAACTGCTTTACATTTGGTACCCATGTAGGGAGTCGAACACTTTAACCACTAGCCTACCTCACCACCACCCTTAATAGTTTATGCTAATTATGATTACAATACCGACACTTAATGCCATCAGGTGCTGGTCACGTCAACCCTCAAGAAATATCCGAGATCATGGTTCATGCCTTTGCCGAGTTCGAGCCTCAAGCATCCAACCTAACAGATGTACGGGTGGTTGTGTTCCAGAAGTCAATGTTTCTCACAGTTTCGTCTCAGATGAAGGAATCAGTGAAATCATTGAATCAACAATCCACCATACGAACACCTAAAATAGGTAAGAAAAAAGAGCGGGACTATTTGTCAATATTTGATATAGGATATATTCCTTTGAACATTCCTGTAACGTAGGATGGGGAGTGAGTGAGTATGGTTTTACGCCGCTTTTAGCAATATTCCAGCAATATCACGGCGGGGGACACCAGAAATGGGCTTCACACATTGCACCCATGTCGGGAATCGAACCCGGGTCTTCGGCGTGACGAGTTAACGCTTTAACTACTAGGCTACCCGATATCAATACTATCAACAGAAATTCATTTTCACGTCAGAGGTACTCTAGACAATCAATACTGAAATGATTGCAATGTTTACTGGTTGCTCCAGTCTCAATTAGGAAATGTGGCACCTTATGTTCCTGTTCTTATCGTTGATAAACATCTCTAGTTTCTTGTTTTTTTGGAGGTAACGTCATGATGATATGATGAGACACTGATTGTTGTAAGTTCAATTTTCCAGGCAAACTGATCATAGGCGTCACAAGGTCAACATGTGTTCGCGTGTGATAATGAAATAATTATCACGGCTTCCAATCAACGTCAAAATATTGAATAGCTTAAATTAAAGGTACATTCGGTTTCTTTAGCAACTACTAGTATATATTCAAAGAAAGTTGGCAAAATCACTTCCAAGTTAATCCATGATGACGAGGAATATGATGTGATGATCTTGACCTTCTTGGTAATGGCATGAAAACGAGTATAGCGCACATAATATCTCTATGTTGGTGGCTGGTAGGGCTAACTGCTGCCATTCATGAGGATTTTCTGCTCTTGATCCAGTTACGTGTATATGCGTATACAACCAAGTCTAACGGACGGGTGGCCAAGCGGATTCTCCCCGATCAAATCTAATGTAAAGTAAATTATACCTCCATGAGATGTTGGCCTGTAGGGGTACCTGCTGCCATTAAAATGTGTGATTCTATTAAACGTTCTGCTCATGATCCAGTTACGTGTAAATGCGTATACAATCATATTTATATAACGGGTGGCCCAGCGGTCTAAGGTGTCGCACTTTCGCTGTCTTATGCAAGGCATCAACCCCCGGTCCCAGTTTCCTTCTGATTATATATCGCTTAATTTGTAAGTGTGTCGTTGGTTTTAAGGTCGTAAAGACCTGTGTTCCCCACATCAAACTGACACGTCTTGCTACAACTGAATAGTGTTTAAAGCAGCGTTAATTTAATCTTGCTCGGTCTCTCATCATCTTTGTTTTTGTTCCAGGGGTTCGTGGGATTGTTTCAGAAGGTCCCTGGAGCGCCTCCGCCGGCTCTGGTAGCATACAGTTTGGAAATATTACAGTGCAAATGAAACAAGGGGACATAACAGAAGAAGACACAGACTGTATCGTGAACAGCACCAACATGGAACTGGACCTAAAGAAAGGTGGGGCAGCCGTTAGTGAGACTATTAGTAGAAAATAGGAGGAAAAGAGAGGAGCCAATTGATACCATAACCAGACCTTTGCAGTGCAATAGATTAGACAGTTGAATCTATATCAGAAGATAGCAGGACTAGAGAGTAGTCGGATGGTATCATGTGAAGACAATTCCACTTACTTCCATGTAAAGACCATTAGCAGAATAAATGAGTAAATGAGTAAATGAGTAATAAGCGATGTACTGTACCATAAGGTAAGAACGTATTAAAGAATGTCAGGGAAATAGTGAATATTTTACTTCCACATTAAGATCATTAAAGGAATTGGAAAGTATAGGTACGTTTTACTATCACAACTTCACCAGGGACCTACATATACTCCTTTCAATAAACCTGATAAAGATATACATTTTGTTTTACTGTACACTATTTTTAATCAACGATAACACCTGTATTTACATGATATGCCAGAAGTTGTCTCAATAGATACTTAATGAAATGTAAAGGCAGACGTGTCTTGATATTAGCAAAGTGGTATTACATGATAAACTGAAAGAGGAATGCCTTACGTGTGCTGTTCATGGTATATTTCCTTAAGGTGCTGTCTCAAGTGCTATCAGGAAAGCATGTGGCAAAGATATGGATTCGCAGTGTGCAAAGAAAAGTGAGATTCATATCGATTCTCTGTGCAGTTGTGTAAGACACTTGCTATACCCTGGAGTTGTACATTGTAGATAAAAAAACATTTCAGGAAGACTTCAGATCTTTTATGTGGAAATGTAACATCAATGTAACATTAATATTAATGTAATCTAGCATTCTGAATGTCATGTGAATTATGTAATCGCTCGTGGTCGGTGTTACACAAGTAGAAAACGAAGCTCACGTCATTGTGAGTATCTTTTAAAAAGGGTTGATCCACTAGAATGTTTTGTTCATATGAGTGAGATAAGTTGGGTTCAGTTTCAAGTCCATGGGAAACATCCCCAAAGCAATCATTAGCTCTGGCACGTGAGTATCCAGATTTCAAGGGAATAGTTACACCCAGTATTGTCAGGCCGCAAGCACATGTTCAAGTCTGGATTGGCACGACTTGTTTCTTTGACTTAACTGCTCTATCGGTAGCATGACCAGAATGCTTGAATTTACATTTGCTGTTACAGTTGATGACATGAGACAGCATGGCGTTATCAGCACGACATCCAAAGGTCTGAAGTGTAAATACGTCCTCCATGTGGCCGGGCACCATTTCGGCAATGACTGGAAGAAAGTAGTCCTCAGCTGTCTGGAAGAGGCAGAAAAACTGCGTGGTGCACAGTCAGTAGCATTCCCTTTGCTGGGAACAGGTAACGTGGCTAGAACTGGTAACAGTCATTGTGAGTGTGTTAATATATTACATATTATTATTGGTAATGTTTCATCCATATTTGGATCAGAATATATGTTTCGTTGTAGTTCTCAATCAACAAATGAAGATTATTGGAAAATATAACAGATGTAGTGGTCGTTTTTCGGAACTTGAAAGAAACAGCAGTAGTAAATAATGATAAGAACAACTACAACAACAACAATAATAATAAAAATAATATTAATAATACTAAAAAGAAGCTGAAGAGATGTGCAGCAGTCAGAATGTTCCTTTCATAGTTGTACTTTGCATCTATATGTCAGCTTCTATTGTATCAAGCAACATTTTCTGTACAGGCATCGGAAATATACAGCCTGAGGATATTGCCAAGCTTATGTCACAAGCATTTGCTGAGTTCGGACCTCAGGCTGTTAACATCAGCGATGTTCGAGTAGTTGTATTCCAGGAAGCAATGTTAAAACCATTTGCTGCAATGGTGAAACACTCGGCAGGCACAGGAGGAATACCACAGGCACAATCTATCATTACAAGAGGTAAGTATTTACCAATAAGGTGCAGGAGTTGTATTTGTGCTGTTAACGATTGCAAAGAGATACCCCATAGGAAAATGATCTTTAATAATATTAAATAATATTTCAAACAACTTCAAACTTTCACATCCAAATTCTGCCTTGATATTAGTTTTGTTTTACACAAATTATGGTTAAATGTATTCTACTTTAATTTCCTATAAGAGATGTGCAAGAGAGGGAGAAAGAATATTTTTTTCTTTGGACCCATCAGACACAAAAATCTCATCAAGCTACCCTAGTTTGACTGAACAATTAGTAGTTGGAATATAGGCCATGTCGTCATTATTGTCATTATTTTCAGTTATCCATAAATTTAATTGATTACAGTTACTTTTGTGTTTGAGTATTTGCTGAACTAATTTCCTTATTATTATTAACCGTGATGGAATGACCTCGTTGCATTCATAGGCGGGATGGAAAGGGTTTTGTCGTTTTATCTATCAATAAGATAACTGCCTTTACGCTTCCAAAGGATTGGTATGTTCCATCTTGTTCTTCGTACATTTCGTCAGGCACCACTTCGACAGGGTGGGTTGATCTCTTCTTCTTCTCTGACCAATCATACAACATAGCCAATGGTATAAGGAACCTGGAAGCACTATGCAAGGAGGAATGGATTACACAGACATCACAGGACCAAGTGATAACAAAACTAACAGACCATCAGGTTACGATATTCACTTTACAGTAACAATGCCCATTATTTGAGTTTGGAACATGTGTATTGCCATTAGAGGTTTTGCAAGAAGACAATACCAGCCTTCAACACTTTACAATCATTATGGATCCTGTCAAAACATTTGATAAAATAATGGCCAAAAGAGAAGATGAACCTGTTGAATGTCTTTCGGGGTGGCTTAAGTCAGTATGTGATGCTGTCTTTGGTAGAATGAGAAAAATGAAGAAAATAAAACTTGGAAACAATATTGGAATATTAAAATGAAACTGGATGCCCTTGATGAAAAGTTTATAGTAGATCCAACTGACATTGCCTCAAATAACTCTGCCATTGTATAGAAGGATCACTACACATTCAATGCTTAATCAAAGAGCTTGCCATAAGTGACATCTCAAATAATGCCACAAATAACTGAAGAAATATGCCAAAAAACACGCATTGGATTGGCAACACGGGCATTAGGCCAAGCCATTTAACTTAAAGCTTCCGGAATTTCGATTATCTGATATTGTTAAAAAAAATTAAAATACCCAATTTCCTTCCACTGATTTACCCACCTGAACTAGAAATATAGGAGACCAGTGAGCCCGCCTCATCCGTCCCTTTCTGTCCAGCAATATGCCAGAAGTTCCAGGCCTTGGTGTCTACATTTCACAACGTTTGAGGTACAATCGAGGATGCTCTTTGTACGAAGATTTGAAAGAGCGTCATACGAATCTTGCACAAAGGCTGTTTGATCAGCGTTACAACAACCACGTTCTTAAAGAAGCATTAAATAAGTTTTATGGTAGACATTTGGTCCGTCAATGAGCAAAATGATGTTGTACCATATATTCCCGTGTGATTTATTTTTCAAATGAACAATTGACCTGCATTTGCAATTGTTGAGGGCAGGATACGCTCACTTTTTCGCAAACACTATTTTTGTAGTGATTCATAAACAAATGCTTATGAGTGAGTACCAGTGAGTAAGTGAGGAGTGTTTTATGCCGCTTTTAACAATATTCCATCAATATCACGGCGAGGGACACCAGAATCGGGCTTCACACATTGTACCCATGTGGGGAATCGAACGCTTTCGGCGTGACGAGCGAACGCTTTAACCACAAGGCTATTCCTCCACCCCTCTCATGCTAATGGTTTGTTGTTTAACGCCGCACTCAGCAATATTCCAGCTATATGACGGCGATCTGTAAATAATCGAGTATGTACCAGACAAGCCAGTGATTGACATCATGAGCATCGTTCAAAGCAATTGGGATACGATGACATGCATCAACCAAGTCAGCGAGCCTGATCTGCCGATCCCGTTAGGAGCCTCTTACGACAAGCATATCATGCTTATGAAAAAGTCGGAATCGTACGACGGACTCTTCTACATATTAATTATTATTATTGAAAAGGTTTTATCGTTTTTGTTTGCAAATGTATTTCTACAAAAAAAACTCTCAAATATATGTTATTATTTACTAGCCTCCTCAATCCACTTTTGTTTCCCCCTTTTATAATTTGTTGTGAATTTCAATTTCATTTGAAAAAAAGTCTTAGATAAATATTCAGATGCTTTGGAATTGTTATTTGCAGCATAATAAATATACTTTCGAATCCCTAATTGTTGGATTATAAGTAGATACCCTTAGGATGCCGAGCATCCTGACGATTTACTGACACAGAAAATATACTTCCAGATTGACTCCTTGCATAAACGCTTTGATGTGGAGCTAAGAGCCGACAGAAACAAAGGAGCTATAGAACTGACAGGACTGAGAGGTAAGGTTGGGCTTGCCACAGGAGAGGTTATTCAATACCTACGTGACATTGAGAAGGAGGAGAGCGAAACAGAAAAGGCGACCCTACTCTCTCGAACAATACAGTGGGCCTATTTCGAGAAAGACAGTCCTTCCGATAAGAAGGACTTTGGTAAGAAGGAAAATGCAGCAATAGAAAAGGCATTTACAGACAATAAGAAGTCGTTCAAGGTACCTTTCATGAAGACCAAGATCGAAATCGACTTTTCGTCCTTGGAGGGAACAGCAGCAAAGAAAACATACAATGTCATGCGACGAGACCTTTTGCAGGGTGAGAAAATAGTATTATCTAAGGTGTATCTAAATATACTAACGGAATAATTAACTGTGCTTCACATAACTTTCATTAAAAATAAATTTACTATAAAGTTATGTAATGCACTTTTTAATTCATATTATTCAAGACATCTCCTCGACTATAAGGTCGAGATTCACAATTTACACGCGCACGATTAGGATCTTTGCGTGTTCGTTGGGAGCATGATAATTACACTCGTTGTATTTGTCATGTGAACAGCACACAATAATTGTAGAACTATCGTGCCCATGAAAACGTTTTTGTTTAACCGTAACAAACGCTTATGCAATGCCAGGGCTTCAATGTCTCTCGTGTCTTCAATGCACCACCGCTCTGTATCAACGCATATGGTAGTCACATCCGATTGTGGCATTGTTAATTGAGGTGTTACACCACCGCTCTGTGAGGGCGTGTGGCTCTGTCTCCTGTTACCATGTATCGGTTATGTCAACGAATTCGTTGTGATAAAACATTGATCAGAAGAGTGATCAAATATTATGTTGTTATTTTCAATAACATAACGTTTACACCACTTTATGTAAAGCACAGTTATACTTTTCCGATAGTATATATAGACACTGGTAAAACGCCATCTGACAACTAAGGCGACGTGTTTGGAGACAAATATATTCAATTTCAATGCCACGATGAATAGGACAACAGAGATTATTTATTTCTTTGTGATTAGAACACGGTGGACAACAAACTGTCAACCCTAATTCGGCATACAGTATTAGCAGATACAGCCATTCATATTTTTCTCAACGATGAGGTCAAGGAGTAGTCTGTTTAAGCAAATACATACGAACCACACTTCTTAACTACACACTATCCTTACGTGAAGAGAATATATACATTGTGACATTCGTGTAGGTGTAATACTTAATAAAATGTATTTATAGCCTACGTGTTGTTTTTCAGAGGCCAAACAATCAATATTTGACCTACCTCCGAGCTGGCAGAAAATGGCGGATGATGTTAATATTGAGTGTTTTCAAGTCGCAGCTGGCGGTGAAGAGTTTAAGACTGTTGAACAAACGTTCATGTCAACTATCAACAACAGCAATGCCAAGGTTCTTCAGGTACGATACCACAATCTATATAAAACGCACAGTCGATGAACTTGAAATACCATAATAGTTTTTCCTTGCCTCTGCCTCTCAAAATACAAATATTCGCGTAAGCTGAGGAGATTTCGCTTTTAAGTAGGTTCTTGAAAAGCTGTTAAAGTTCGTAAGTCAATATTAACTAAGATCTGATGACATTGACTAAACCTTTACTGAGACTTGTTCTAGATGCGAGAAATAACATAGATCCACGGAAATCAGGAAACGTCTGTTTGCAAATCGGTTAAAATCTATTAGGTCAAACGTCATATGGACCTCTTTCCCGATCTAAATGATATCCTCCGGGTGAAGATAGTCATTGAAATTATAAAGTCTTTGACAAAATCGTAGTGGCAGCGGGAAATTATACATAAGAACATTATATCAAAATAACGAATAACTTTATCATATGCATGTATTTATAAATTACCATCCAATAGTGACGATACGATGTAACACGGACATGATCTGACACTGTTTACGATACAATGGCATAAAGATATATGGATGTTTTTAAACCTAACACACTCAATGCTATCTGATGTATGGTTCACACGCGGAGGTGATTCTATTTCTGGAACAGTGCATCATTAACCTCAATATTTATAACACAAAACCAATGATAACATGGCATATTAGGCACGGACATGTTTGCATAAAATATGTGCATCTATCTGTGGAAAGAACTTTTTACATTTGTAACAGAAATAGTTGATTCCTCTTGATCGTCATCTGTATGTCGGATAGAACACCATCTCCGTTGTGTATTACATATGTGCTGTATGTAGAGTCCTCCCATTAAAATAAATTTCTTACCTATGAAGACCTTATCATAAAACTAATTGGAATTTTGTATGGAGACTAGATAATTTTCAGCTGCAGTGGTAAAACCAGATATTTAAATCAAAGCCATGAGCTAGAATAATTTTAATAATATCAAATGGCCGCTCCCTCAGCAACTCAACGCATTTCAACTTGTACATTATATTCTGCCAGGACGTGACTTGAAGTGTACCCTCACAAACCTTTGCAGTGGTTTGTAACCTACGACGTTGACTAACACCTTCCCTGTTACTGAAAAGTACCATCATACATTGCGTATTTGTCATAGGTGACTCGCATTCAGAACAGATCTCTGTATCAGCAATATGCGGCCAAAAAGAAGCAACTTGAGAAGCAGAACCCCCAGGGTACCCAGAATGAGGCATGGCTGTGGCACGGTACCAGCACAGATGCTATAGGCAGCATCAATGCACATGGGTTCAACAGAAGCTATTGTGGGAAAAATGGTAGGTATTGCTTTAGACAGACAGGCATATATGACCAAGAGGCCAATAATACATCTTGTATACAATGATATAGTTAATACTTGCTGCGCAATCTTGACATTATAGTTTCGTAGAATATAGAACGGGTCTACAGGAATGCACTTCCTAACAGGATTCTTAGCCCTCATGTGAAATAAAATAACACGTACACGTACAATAACACGGATAACGTAAGTAACATATTCACACTTTCGATTTGAAGTATATCATACAAATTTTACCGAGATGGTCCGTTTTGTTTAAATACGGTTGCATGTAATCATTTCTTGGACTTGCATATTCTGGACATATTGATAGTACGTGATATTCATCTTCATTGGGGGTCCCCCGCCGTGATATTGCTCGAAGATTGCTAAAAGCGGCGTCGAACCATACGCCCTCACTCTTCATTAGGGTGGTTAGAGTATGGACAGGGTGCATAGTCAATTGCCGTGTTTTTGGAAAATCTAGCTGCTCTAATGTTAACATTACGTACATTGCAGATAAATTTGGGTAACATTCGACGGAGATTGTTTCTCATTACATAAGATAATGATGCAATTGAACTTTGGATTTCGGAAGAATATTAAAATAATTTGACTCATGAATTACTCATGTTGATAAATATCTTTACATCTTTGTTTCAAAAAATTAAGAAATACCTTTCTGTCGTCTACATCTTGTGCAAGCCAGACATGCCCCAAACTATTTTTAAATAATGGTATTCGTCAGAAAAAAACACGGTTTTCGTCCCCTGCATCATCTTTTCTAATGTGTAAATCATAACATTGTCTCGAGTATCTGTTAATGGTTGTCTGGTAAACCGTATCCAACAAGACAGAACTCTACAGTGAGCATTTATGAACAGCTGGAAGCGACCACATTCTGTTCAAACAACTTCACTTGCAGCTTTATAATCTGTGTGCAATAGAAAGTTTGATATAAAGTTTATCAATTGCCTCACTAAACTTCCCCTCCTGTATCAGTCACAGCAATGGTTGAACAAGCTTCTCTAGTATTCAATGTGGTGCCAAACGAGTGTACATGGTGAAGGCCCAGACTAACACTTAGTCTCTGAAAATATTATGATTTTGATAGAAACAAATAACTCCATGTAAATTGAAATGGAGCCCCAGTGAGATGGGAGACTTGCTTCATTTAGGGCTTGTGTATCACAGAAAGGCCTTGTAGGAATGGAAAATAATATGGTCTAGAGACTGTGAGAAAGACAGGGACTATGAAAGGCTGTGAGGCCGGAAGCTTGAGATTGCATATTTTTATATATGTATTTGAATTCCTCAATGGAAATTATCTCAAAAGAAGAGCGATTTTTTTAAGAACAGTAAATGTGCATATGTTTTTTTCTGATACGATTCACGTTACACATATATTACTTGTGAAAAGTACACAATGACACCTTTAGATATACACTGTTCGTAGCATTCAAGGAATGGCTACTGGCTCTTCATATTCCAATGTGTCTACAGATAACCGCTTCCAATTTCAGCCACCTACTACGGCCAAGGAGTGTATTTCGCTGTTAATGCCAACTATTCTGCCCAAGATACATACTCAAGACCGGACGCACAAGGGCAGAAATACTTGTACCTGGTTCGAGTCTTGACTGGCGTATATACTTTGGGGAAACCTGAGATGAGAGTTGCACCGTCCAAGAAAGGAAGCACTGGCACGGAGCTGTATGACTCGGTCGTGAACGATATTAACAATCCTGTCATGTACGTTGTGTTCAATGATACACAGGCATACCCAGATTATCTGGTCACATTCCAACCTTGAAGTGGTGTAAATGTGTTGACAAGTTTGTATTTGTTAGAAACCACTTGTGTTGAAGTTGTATGTAACCTTTCAGTTAGAAGAATCAATATTTTATTTGCAATTTTTGAATATCTCACATACATTAGTAATTCCGTGAGCAGCAGCGCTCGAAGCTGTACATGTATTGTTGTGTGTCAGTATGGTTTTATGTGTTTATTGAAATAGTATCACATTTATCTCGCTGCAAATATTTTCTTATTTCAAAGTGTAGTTGTAGTGATAGTAGTATTTTGTATATTTTGAAATCATATACATCACGTACCTATGCTAAATACAGGCGCCGTGTTGAAGACTCAATCACAACAAATTTCACAAAATGAGTAATGTGTTCAGTATAAAATGCACACTCCGGCGCAGTGGTGATTCAGCATAACACCACTGCCACAGGCTAATTTGCATTTCACGTGACCGGACTTTTCTCTTGTTTGTAAACAAACGCGCTTTTTCAGAAATCAGTATAGAACGGACTAATGCAAGTATTTGGGGGCGCTTTACATATTGTTTTGCATAATTATATAGATATGCTACTACAACTGCGACAGTGAGTTGCATGACAGTATATATATTTATACATCAAAGTGATATATCGCAATAGCTCTCCTTTGGGCTTCGATGATAGCACGTGGAGCCGTACAACCAATGTAAACAAAGGATAACTACGCAAAGAAAAGTAGATTTTCACGTATTAGGATAATTTCTTAATGAACCGTAACCATTCTTTGACATTTGTTTATGAACATGTGTAGACTTGTCAAACATGAAACGGATGAAAAGCATATTCAATATCTTGAATGGACTGTGAAAGATGTGACGAATCGTCATATGGCGCAGGCCTGTGGCAGAGATACTATGCTGGCTGGCTGTCGGCCGCATGGAACTCTGGGTAGGAGAGTGTATAAAATGTGGAATCAAACTTGCTGTATGGCCCGTACGTTTGACTCAAGAACTAAATATACAAGCACAAGGCTTCTATAGTTGAAGCTCGATGATGGTTATAAGATATCCAATAATCATTTAACTTTGGTAGACAAAGATAATGTTGCAAAAACATACAACATTTCTAAAACTCTACATAATTGTTTGGCTGCTTACTAAGGTTGAGATTTTGTGAAATGAACAAAATATATTACCAGCAGTTACTTTTTTTAAAGCTTGCCTACATGACAAGAAATCCAAAGTGAGGGATATACCTCGAAATGTTGAATGTCCCTCGCCAATTCTCAGGAGGTTCGCCATTATTTCACTCGGTATGGATAAGCTGTAATAGCTCAAAGCTCGTAGATATTTAAAGGTTCACTCCGTCAAACAGCAGGTGTTCTATGAAAGGGGAAACCGGACAATGTATGTTTCACAACATTTGTTTTCATAACAAATATTTCTTCAGTAGAACCTGAAACGACGAGCAGAGGGAATTTTACAATAATTCATGTTTAAAGACATATTTTGCTCTATTGCTCTACAACCGATTGTCCAAATACTATCAAACTATTTTAGGGGCGGTCGGGTAACCTTGTGGTTAAAGCGTTCGCTCGTCACGCCGAAGTCTCGGGTTCGATTCCCAATATGGTTACAATGTGTGAAGCCCATTTTTGGTGCCTCCCACCGACAAAGCGGCGTAAAACCATATTCACTCACTCGCACAAACTTTATGTTTCTGCTGCTTCTGATGTTTGACCTTTTTATGTATATTTACGTTCGTTATTGATCATATGTCATTGGTTTGCATAGAATACAGTGAAAGTTGGCATTATGTATCAACATCGTTTGTTGCATCTTTTTTGAGTGCATGTCAAAAGTAACATGGCTGGACGACCATAGTGCGGGTTTTAGGTTTTGTTAAAACAAAGTTACGTGAACTTTAATGACAGTTGGATAGACACAATCATTTTGCTAACACTCCAATAGTTTGAGTATGGGTACTAAAACGTCCCATAATTTTCATTGAAAGGTCCCCTCCTATAGTTAAACAAGAGTGGTCACCCTCCCATAGTATAGCATAGTGTAGTGAATATCACTTGAAGATTAGTTTGAGGCATTAACTTGATCGAACTTTGTTTTAAGTAGGAGAAAGTCCTCAAAGTCCCTAACGGCCTCGAACAAGCTTCACGTGCGGAAATAATCGCGAGATTTCGGACATTCTCCTTTACTTACACATGTAAGATACAGCGAAAAGATATTGAAAGAAGCGTTATTATAATACGATGATAAGCCCCATCCACTGCCTTCACATGACAACTGGAGGTAGTAACAACAATGTTAATAAACTGAGCTAGTATCATGCGGCTTTATGTTAGGATACCAATACCAATAAGTACCAATAACCTCCTTGAACCATTTGACCAAAAAGAAAGAATGTGTTTCCCCAAACCGAAACTTGATAAAATTAGTATCTTTTTATGGATAACAACTACTTTTATTCTTTTTGACGAGTTACTTTTTGTCCATTCCACAGGTGTATACCAATGCTAATAATTTAATGCTATGCTTGTCTGAATGCTAGGTGAACTAAAGCTATGATATACGTTGAGTGCTTATGTTTCCTGTATAGCCCCAATGACAGGCCGTTCAAATGAACCTCCATGTATACACATGCACAAAAGTTAAGCGACACCCACCATATTTGTGAGCTGTTACTTTTGGCACTTAATGGCACAGTATATTTATCATTATGTTGACAAGTTATTTCCCTTACAACCCATTCACTATCCTGCTGTAGCTATGTATCCTGATTGTCATTCCACAGTACTTCAAGACACCTGTAGTATTAAGTCTATTTATTAGATATTATTATGATATAGCAAATATGATTTTAGAGAGTTTATAATCAAATATTCTGATGATGACATAAATGCAAATTTAACCCCACAATCATTCCATGTAGATGCATTTAATTATGTTATTTGTTTTTGCATATAACAGATTATACTTATAAATGTTACAGCCAGTGTCTTTAATCAGGCATATGTATTTTGACTCACTCAGGCAATGTATATATTGTCTTACATCTTCAGTCAGTATACATATTACTGAAATGACTCCTTAATCTCATTTTAATTTGGATCTATTTTGATCTTAAGAAGATCTAAGTAACTTATGTAAGTAATGAATTATGTTCCCACGGTGAATTGATTGGTTCGTCAAACATGAAAGTATACTAGAGTCATTTTTATGTTACTTATCTTGATTGACATAACATGCAGTTCAGTAACTGATAATGACTGCTACAAAGTCATGCATGTGTAATCTTATACTAGTATACATGCACAAGTATATCAAGATATCAAATAAAATAATAACAGTCATTGTGCAATGCAGATATATGTTGGTGTAAAGAGAAAAAAGAATAACATCAATAATTTGTTTATGTGGGAATTTGAGAAACATCAGTTTCGAATAAGGGAACATGAAAAGCAAGGCCTTTTGAAATTAAGAATGAACTCTATCTGTATTACAATCATCTGATTGTCAAACCAAACAGGATGTAGAAGCTGCAAGGTTAATACAATCATCATTATAGAGATTAAAAATTAGTATGACTTCATTGTTCCAATTTATAAGATGAAAAAAATGTTGGTATAATAATGATATGGTATATGTATTTAAAGTAATATATATAGTGTGTTGTGTCTGAAAACATTTCTTTTCTAAGTTTTAAAATCTAAAAAAGGCCACGTTGATATACATTTATACACATGCACAAAACCACCATATTTGTGAGCTGTTACTTTTGGCACTTAATGATGACTATTATAACGAGATGCACGATTGTTGTAAGCTGTATATGTAAACCTCATGTGATGCAAAAGCTGTCCCAAAGCAAGTTAATCTTGTGTTCCAAAAGAATAAGAGCAGAAAGGAATTTTACCGAAGACCAGAAATTGAAGGATTAGAAAACATTGAAAAACTTTATTTGTCATGTAACTGTCATGATATCAGCAGACCATATCAGGTGTCACATAGACACCCTATGGAGTGCCCAATTGCGTGGATCGATGCTCATGATGTCAATCAGTGGATTGTCTGGTCCAGACTCGATTATTTACAGACCCCCGTCATATAGCTGGAATATTGCTGAGTGCGGCGTTAAACAACAGACCAACCAACCAACCAACCCTAGAGAGTGCAGAGTCTATTGCAAGAAAGAAACGTCAGTAACGTGTGTATGATCCACGGACATTGACCACAGCTTCAACCCTACGCCTCATACTCATTACAAGTCGTTGAATGCTTCTCTGAGGCAAACGGATCCATTCTTCATGAAGTGCGGCTTCACGTCCAGCGAGATTTTGAACTGGGGGATCACGATGTCTGATTTTCCGGCCAAGAATGTCCCAGAGATGCTCAATCGGATTAAGATCCGGACTACAGGCCGGCCAAGGAAGAGTGGCAATAGCTTCTTGACGCAAATAAGCCAAAACTGCCCGAGATCTGTGTGTTCTAGCATTGTCGAAATGAGGGACTACCACTGGACATAGAACGGCATCTTGGTATTGTTGGCCATTCAGGTTTCCACGAATTGTCACCAGCGGAAGTTTGCAGCCGAAGGAAACGCAACCCCATAGCATGACAGACAAACCTCCACATGCTAAGGTCTTCTGGATGTTCCTTGGTGCAAAACGAGTGTTACGTTGCCTCCAAACACACAAAATTCGACCAGTTCGTAGCAGCATTTGACACTCGTCAGACCAATGGATCCTTCTCCAGTTGGCCAAGTTCCATCGACTACGGGCACGACACCATATCAGACGATTCCGCATGTGCCTCTCAGTCAGTTGAGGACGTTTTACTGGTCTTCTGGCGTTATAACCAGCCGCTCTGAGGCGACGCCTTACGGTCATCGTCGAGACTCTCTGATGGGTAATCCACTTAAAATCTGTTGAAGTGGCAAATGGATTTCGTCTGACTATCCTGAACAGACGTCTATCCTCTCTGTTAGAGGTCTTTCTGGGCCTACCAGACCTATGCCTGTCATTGACATCATTGGTTTGACCATGTTTGACAATCAAACGAGTGATAACACTGTGATGACGACCCATTTGAATTGCAATGGCCCTGCATGACATGCCAGCATTTTTCATGCCTATCACTTGCCATCTTTCAGCGTTCGTTAACTTTCTCCTCACCATGGCTGATTTTCAACCTCTATTGGAAGGGGAATCTCACACAGGAGCAAAATGCAACCACGTGTCTGAAACTTGAATTTCACTATTTATAGGGTAGGGGAACTGCAGCAACACGTAAAGCACGCTTTCCTTGTGGTATCTGGACAAATTTGGGTTCATGAAACTATGGAAGCC